TCTGGCATGCAGAATGTGATAACACATGTACATGTAGGGTTAATTTAGCCAAGAGCCAATTACCCCACCAACATGTCTTTGGAGTATGAGAGGAAACTGGAGAACTTGGAGGAAACCCACGTGAACACAGGAAGAACATGCAAACCCCATGCAGACAGTGTCCTGGCAGAGATTCAAACAAAGTACTGAAACAAATAAGTTTAAATCTCTAAGCCACCATGCCACCACAATCACAGTATAGTGTTTAATAACTGTAAATGGCTTAAGGTCACAAATAACCTTGTAGTGACCAGTACCTGACAGCAGGATTAAATATTACAATTAATTTTTAAAGTAAATACTAAAAGAGATACCCCATTTGACCCTTACTAAATGGCTGCTTGAGTCAACTTCTTGGGTTATCTTGGGTAGGCCTTCAGTGTAAGGTATTCTGATTGGCTGCTTGCTCTTTGCACTATTAATTGAATAACCCTTGTTCTTCCTGCCATCAATGTCAGGTTTTATTGGTCGCTCACAGCTAGCATAGTGAGGGCCTGACATAAGCAGGTGAAGGCCTCAGGGGAGGGTAGTGGTAAGCCTTTCCACTAGCTCTCAGTGTACAGTGTATTACACCCTATTGCACAATACATTTTTACATACAATGCTGAAACTGAACGTATAAAACTATATTTTGGAGCATTTCACAATTTAGCAACTAAATTCACATGTTTATTTTCTTTTTTCCTAATAGACAAGTGTTTGTTTTTCATTCTTTTTTTGGGGGCCAATGCAACTAGGAAGCGCAAACTCTGTTTCAGCTGAGCATGAGAGGGACACTCTGTGCTGCTTTCCTAAAACGTTTATCCACGTAGCAGTGATATTTCCGATCTCTTTCCAGCCACTTTCTGCCTATATGCACTACAGCAATTGCCACATAACACGTCTCAGGCTGGTTTTCCTGGTCGTGACAACAGTGGACCATGTCTGTGCAATGTGCATCGGCATGGCCGCTTGTAGTCTCCACAAGCAGTGACGGTGACCGCACAGAACATCTGGGGGTCGGGGACGTAGTCTGAAAAAAGACCTTCATTGCAGAATAACCAGGTATTCATTGAATGAAATACTGAAAATTACTTTTGAAATTTAACATGCTAAATCATATAAGGCATTTAAGTGAATGAGTTTAGATATATTTTAAAGTAAAATCCTTTGTTAGTGAAATACATGGGATTTTATTGCCTAGTTCCCCTAGAAAATCTAGTTGCTCTGTTAAGATGTTGATCTTCCATCATTTTATAAGTATAATGCAGTAAGTGCATTATAAGGGAACATGTTTCCAGCTGCTCCCCTCTTCATTATATTTTGAAATACTGACATACATAAAATCAAACAATACAAGGCTGGTTTTTCAACTGTAATACATTTTAATTAAAACATTGACATTAATCTCTAAATCTTCCGTATTATCCATTTGTCACGGTCAAAATTAGAAAAGTTCATTACCAGTATTATAGGCGCAGGTTTTTCAGAACCTCCCATGGAATGATCTGATCCCTAGAACAGAGGTGTGCTCCTATGTAGATTGTAAGATGTTATATTTCCCCCAGGTGTGCCCGCACACACCCAACCAACATGCTACAGTGACGATGGGCTACACACAGTGCTTCTTATATGGGGGAAGAGATCTTTTGAATATTCCGTTTTCTGGAGGAAAGAAAAAATCTGCAGATGAGTTTTTAGTAATTGAGTTTAGATTTACTTTCCAGCCACGATTTAATTTTTTATTTTTTATTTTTTTGATAGAGTTAAAATTTCTGTCATGTCTTTATTTTTATTTTATTTTAATTATTATTAAGCCTAATAGGCATCATGGACCAATTACTAATTACCCCTCAGGATTTCTCCAAATGTATCAGTCCAGTATACACTTTGTTTAACAGTACCAAGCCCTGATAAAGGGGAACCCTTTGCACCTCTGAAACTCATTGGCTTTTTATGTTATGAATCTGAATACAATTACATATGAACTTTATACCTTCTGCTTTATGGTATTTTCCTAGTTGAGCTAAGAGTGCCCCTTTGGTCACCATTCCTGGAAAGTCAGTCTTCACTCCCTCTATACTGCTGAAGACCAGACTGAGAACACAGACTGCTTTCAAAGAGCAAACCTTCATGGTTCTTCCTGTGTTTTTTTTCTGTCTGTGATCCCAATAGGGAATTTTTCCCGGACTTTCTGTCCCTGTTACATCCATGCAAGAGATAAGGGGACTGGTTGTTTCCAGGACAGGAAGGCCCAGACAGCAATGCAAACATTGTTAGAGGGCTAAACATTGATGGGAGGTCTCCCAGGCAAGAACACAGACAATTCATATTTCTTTTTTTTCCCCTTATTTATTTCAGTTTTATTGGGTTTCAAATCGTAAAACATACAAAACAAATGTACAGTAACCATATAATTGGTCCGAAAGGCCACAAGCGCTGAACATAGTACAGGTTAACATTCCAAAAACATCAAATAGGGAAGAATGAAAGGGGTAGGGGAGACGAAGGACAGACGTGACACAGGGGGACAAAGACAGAAACTTACCCTGGTCTTCTATACACAGCTCACATATCTGATCAAGCACGGGTCTGAACATACACAAGGAATTCCATCTCAGTGAAAGAACGAGAAACACAAGCCCCTTACATGGTACACCATAATGCGGTGGGAGGCAATCCAAAACTAAAGACAAAGGATGTGATTATTAGACAATTATTAGAGGGCTAAACATTGATGGGAGGTCTCCCAGGGAAGAACACAGACAGCAATTCATATTTCAAATGAGTTGCCCCCCATCATTCAAAATCCTGATTTTGAAGAGTTGTGGCTGGAGTTGAGCTTTAAGAGGTCAGTTACCTACAGTATGTATGAACATGCTTTGTGTTTCGAATATCAATTCTCCAACTACGGATTCATATAATAGCTCACATTACTAATTCATGGGACCGTATCTATAACTGAAATTACATTATTGAATCACACAGTTAGTGGTGTTCTGGCGGGAGAATGACATTTCATTGAATCAGTTCAGCCAAGGTTAATGTATAGGCTCTGATATACGTCAAATGAGGGAAGGTCTTGTAATAAACAGCATTGCTCATTTTCCATTGAAATACATACACACACAGATTGGACAGTCTGCACAATTTCAGCAGCTCTGAAGGCTAAGGTGTACGCATTAATGGTAGTGCAGTGAGCAGGACAGGTAGCAGTACTACTTCAATGCAAAGTATTCCTGAGACTGTAATGTAATGTGAAGGTTATATTTTCTACAACACAATTCCAGAACTGGCGAAGGGAAATTCTCATCACAAAGGTCAATACAATAAATTCTTGGGGGAACCCATGCTTGGGGAAAACAGGGGGTGAATATGTAAACTTTAGCATAACAAACAAACAAAAACTATCTTTCTCTCTTCAGTGGAACTCAGTGTTCCATCAGTGTCTTTTTTTTTTTATATAATCACGTCTGTATGTTATATGAGATCTAAACGGAGCTTTGGAAAAAATCCAAAACAGGTGTAGATCTGATATTTGATCCTCAAAGGGACAATATCTCATAGGGGAGGTGTCCACTGGGTTTCACAGTACGGAGTTAGGAAAAGGTAATACTCTCATTAGGCACGGAGTCCAATAGATTCTCTGGGTGATCATCCTCATGGCATATACAGCTTAATCCCATCAAGATCCCACTGCAGGTGAAGATTAAAGATGCTGTCTACAATGGTAGCAGGTCAGAAGCAATTAACATTTTTATCATCTTAAAACTTGTGGTAAATAAATACTAATAGCATGTTGTGGAATAACGTGTTCTATAATGCATAGCTTTTAGTAACATTTTACCTTTTACTGCATCAAGATATGTTAGGGAAAGCTGAAGTCTGATTGCTATAAATTACAACATATACTTAATGCTTTTAATGTTTAATTCCATTAGACCTACTCGTCATATGTAGTGTACTATGATATGTAGTATGCTAAGAAGAAATCTTCTTGGCATACAGTAGCAGCCAGTAAGCTCCCAGATGTCATTTATAACTGTCTAGAGTTGAAAATGAAGCAGAGAATTTGATTAGTTGGTTGGGATACAAGCAAGTTTCTCATTAGAACACTTTTAATATTTTATTTTGTACTTTGTGTGATAGGAAGGCAATGCTGTATGTCACAAAGAGTTTTAATGCATTGCTTATCCCATTTATACCAAAGTCAGTTAGAATTGCAGGCAAAGTAATATAAGTGCTGCAACTCGTAACAACCAACTAAAGAAAAAAAAAAAATCTTTCACTTTTGTGACTGATATAAAGCAAAGCAGTGTAATGAAGGGTATGGGTTACTACACTTTGCTCATTACAAGTACATAGTTGCCAAGTGTCCCTCCATGTGCAGTACAGTCTACCCATTTTGCAAATTGTACTACGGCCCCACACACAGTGCAAACTATTTTTTTCCTATTGGAGAACAATTGTCTTCCCAGTTTATGAGGGAAAGTTGAAAACCTACTTTTTTTCCCACCTACTTATTAGATAAGATGGAAATGAGAGGTAAATAGAAAGGAGTAGTATACTGTATGTGATGTTAAATGCAGGTTTCATTACTAAAGGTAAAAAGGCAGTTTAACTTTACATGGGACGTTTGCCCTTAGCTAAGTGAATCCAGTGAAATTTAATTTTGTAAGCAATATCCAATCATGTGCAAGGAAAACAACAGTATTTTACTTGCAAATGATTGGATGATAGAAAGCTTCACCTCAATTGCTAAGCTAAGGATACTCTTCCCATGCAAAGTGCATCAAAGTAAATCAACCCCTCGAGGTTGCTGATGGTATATGCTTAACACACCTTGTGCAGAAGCTACTCCTAGATGGTGGTGTTAGGAGTGCTATTAATTCCGCTCAGTATAGAAATCAACAGGCAATAAATGAATATATACTTTCTGTTTAATTGTTTTCTCAGGATGGGAAAGGGTAGATTTGTGTTCTATGACCATCGCATTGGTTGTGCTCTGTCTGTCCTTCCTGTTGCTTCTCAATAAGAAGAAGAAGAGTAAGCTTCCACCAGGTCCCAGAGCCATTCCACTACTGGGCAACCTTCATCAACTGGACACCACAGACTTGGTCAAGTCACTGAAAGAGGTATCCGTACATATTACTTATTTGCACGTACATAGACAAAGAGCAACTGTGTAATATAGAAACACAACTGCATATTTGAACTGATAATAATTATAAATAAACATTTTATAATGAAGTATAATGTTTATTATATAATTAGCGATTGCCTTCTTATTGGGTCTTCAACTTGTTGGTCATCCTCAGTGTCCAATAATGGGAAGATGCAGTCTACCGTCCACTTTTGCCAAGAAAGTCAAGGTCTACATATCGGGGTGCCTCAGGTTATTTTATGGGTCCCAAGGCAAACTTGTGTTCCTCTTTCTCACACTATCCAAAATTAAAAATGCTGTAACAGGAGTTTAACTTTAAAATGCAATTGCAAGTATTGAAGCCAGAGGGTCAACAATAGTCAAGCAACTAGCATTTTCCAAATGAGGTCAGCATTGGCCGCCCTCCTGGTTCTTTTAAAAAAGGTTACTTTGAATCTACTGTTGAATGGAACCACATGCAGTCTGGCAAAAGGTCAAGCACATACAGTGCAGGGAATTTATCAAAACTGGAGCAGTTGCCCATGGCAACTAATCAGTATCTCTCTTCAGTTTGCCCAGGTAAGATTTGAAAATGAGAGAGGGAAGCTGATTGGTTGCAGTGCAAATCTGTTCCAGATTTTGTCTGCTCCAGACTTGATAAATTCCCCCCACTGTGTTTATAGGTCAGCGGTGATGCAATTTTAAAGATAATAATGGCAGAACCACTGACCTATAGGCACAGTGCAATTTCTTTTTTTTTTTTAGACAGGAAATTAGGAAACGTTGCATATTAATATTTACCATTTGCATCCAGCCGGTGGTGGGTGAGTCCAATCAAAACAGCAACATGCACTGCTTTGTTGCAAATAACCCGAATAGCAGTAGATCAAACTACACACATAGCCGAATTATTGATTTACAGAGGCAGTCAAAAAGCAAGCAGGAAGTGCTGGGCTTACTTATTGGAAAGTCTACCATGCACTACAAACCAAGCATCATGGAGATAACCTACTAATGTTTTATTTGTATGGCAAAGATTTAAAATCCAGTCATGTAACAGTACATAAACAGTTTATGAACATTTTTGGAACTTTCAGAAAAATTCAAATCAAAGTTCAAGCTTTCAATCTAAAATACTGTAATCCATTATTTGCATTTGATGATGTTACTTATTGCTGTGATTCTTTGCTTCTCTTATGTGTTCTTATTTCCTATTATCCTGACTAATATTACATCATAACTACAGCTGAGCAACAAATACGGCCCGGTCTTCACTATCTACCTTGGCTCGAAGCCCCACGTTGTACTGTATGGCTACCAGGCAGTCAAGGAAGCTTTGGTGGAACAAGCGGATAATTTCAGTGGCAGAGGGGATTTCCCTGTAGTTCACAGATTCACCCAAGGCAATGGTAAGAGTTTTCTATATGTATTGTGAGGGCAACCTACAGCAGAATCGCTAATGTTAAAAAGAGGAAAATAGAAGAATAAGTGCTGTGACCTAATTGAAACAAATACAAACTAAGGGTGCCAAGGTGTGACAACTAGGAGACAGCGGACACCCTATAACAGGAAGTGTCTGAGCATGAGCCTTCGTGGCAAGATGACTAGGCATTATTTTAATGAAAGCTGCAGATGTAAAAAGATTGAAAACAACTTTTGAGTTTATTTTATCATATTAAAGCTGATATGGGATTTAGTAATTGGGTTTAGGTCTACTTAAAAATGGAAGACTGTCACTAAATACAACCATATATTAATTTAACTTCCTTTTCCTGCCTGGTGTCCGATACCCTCAAAAATGTCTTTACATCCATTCCTTACATCATGCTTTTTGACTGCCTCTGTTAATCCATCATTCGGGTATGTGTGTAGTTTGATAGCTCACATAGAACAAAACAGGGAAGCTCCTATTGCATCATGGGAGTGGAGCATTTTTTTTCTTCATGATTCTGCTGATGAATGAGATGCTGGGAAGGAGTGCCTAGGGGGAGACAATAATTCATCAACACCTATTGGGCACAAGCTTTAGAATTCAAACATTCTATTTATTAAAAAAATGTATGTCCAAATCTGGTAGAGGAAGGGTTACAACCCGCAGACAGTTGATATCTTGATGTTTATGTCCCATGGCGGAGATTCCCCTTCACTTCCTGTCCCACAGATGTAACAGGAAAAGAGAGGAAATCACTACAAAGTAAGGGGCATTCCCTTCTTTAACAGCTGTAACCAGAACTGGTGTGCTCATTGGAAGAATTACCCTCAGCTCCTGTTCTGGTGACACATGTAGCATTTTTTGGACTTCCCATCACCTTTTGTGTTGGTGACAATGGTTACCAGGGCAAATATAGGCTGACGATACCTATTTGGGACATAGCAATGAAACCTTGACAGGCGTTCTGATCTTCTGGGTCTCTGTCTAAAACCACAAAAAGTTTTGGTCTATACATACAATTTGGGATTCATGTATAAAGAATTTGGAGGGCTATTCACCCTGAGAATATCTGTGAGCGTTCGTCGTGTGCGTATATATGTGCAAGTAAATAGTTTTTCCATTACAACGGTAATTACATTTCTGACAGCAATACATATTATGGCCACTAGATGACAGTAAAGGAACACATAAAATATGTATTTATTTTCTATGTTCATTTAGTGTCATCTAGTGGCCATAATATGATATTACAATCAGAATGATCAAATGAACATTCGCTTGTGTATATATACATGCAGGACGAACATTCACGGATATTCTCAGAGTAAATTGCCTTGACCTTTGGGTAGTCTAGAAACAGATTAGAAACGATTTTTACCAAATGTTTATATTTTCCCAATATCTATAATAAACTCAACACAGCTTGCCATACTTATAAATTGGCAAACTGCTTTTTATCCCTCAATTTGATCTGTATCTCTTTTCAACCCATGTCATCGTCAATGTGGTGTACATTTCTGCATATGAAAGGCCCAAACATAATGGAACATGAATTAGACCTCATAAGTATAACTCCCTATAAGGGAGCATTTTTAATAGGTTTCTTGGTATACCCTTCCTCTGGTTAACTATTAATCTAGAAGTAGGGAGCCTCGGCACTCCAGCTGTGGTGAAACTACAAATCCTAGCAAGCCTCTGGCTATCAGAATGCAATGCCTCATGGAACTTGTAGTTCCACAACAGCTGGGGTGCTAAGGTTGCATACTTCTACATTAATCCAGTAGAGATTTTATTATATATTTTGTTAAAATATAAACTAATAACTCGTTATTGGTTTCCAAGTTGACATAATTTAATCACACAAGTACCACATTTAAAATTACATGTCCCAAGCAGTTATGTGGCTGAGAAGAGGACCACTTTGGTGGTTTTATGCACAGCTATAGGGAAAGCTATTGTGCTACTTTTGTGCTCAGTTTTGGAAATCTCGTTTGGCACTGCTAAGAAGCAAGGCAGCGTTTTTACAATTTGTCTGAAAGTGGATCCCACCTTTATAAACGTTTACAACCTGTGAGATTAAAACGGGGCAGCACAGCAGCTTCATGGTTTGCACTTCTGCCTTGCAGCAATGGGGGTCCCTTGTTTGTATCGCTGTGAGGACACTGCCCGTTCTCCCCGTGCTCGTGTGGGTTTCCTCTGGGAGCTCCAGTTTCCCCCACACTGTGCAATCTTTATAATATCAGCTATAGATTTACCGCAATTATGTAATATGAGGACCTACCTAAACTATCCTATCAATTTGTATGCAACCTGACAGACCCTTACACTAAGGGTACACTAACCCTACATATTAGTGGTCAGTGGGAGAGGTTCCCCCTTACATAGCTAGTCAGTAGACGAGTTGCCCCTTAATGTTGGTGTTCAGTGGGAGAGGTAACCCCTTATATAGGTGGTTAGTGGGGAGGTGTCCCCTTTGTTGGTAAGTGGCAGAGGTAACCCCTTATATCGATGGTCAGTGGGAGAGGTCCCCCATTATATTGGTGGTTAGTGGGAGGGGTGCCCCCATAGCTTGGTGTTCAGAGAGAGATGTTGAAAAATGATTCCCTTATATTAGTAATCATTGAAAAAAAATATTGCTTACATTAGTGGCCAGTGTAATGGCGGTGGTGGAACAATGCAGGCCCTGTCAGACAAGGGAAATCTGTTCAAGAAATCAATCTGGATCTGAAGAAACCCTAGTTTACAAAAGCTGGTCAGTCGGCTGCTGGCCACACCTAGTCCTGCCCACTGCTTTCAAGATTGGCAGCACTGTCTCTGTTGCTGAAAGCCTCCCACTGAGCTGCAGTGTCTGGGAGGGGGAACAGGTGAGGAAAATATAAAAGGGCTTGGCTTACTCAGGGAAGGTAAAGAAGTTTATGGGGTTTGTGTTTTACATAATAACTGCTGGGTTGAGATCTGTTTAAACAATCATACAAGAGCCTTCAGATGTTCTTTAATATATTAGGATGTCATATAGGTAAAGGCGTTGCATATCACTGATGTGATACAATCTGATATATTGAATCATATCCATACATAATAATGTTACAGCACTTAAACCTCTCTTGTTTCGTTATACAAATACAAACTTCAACTTGAAAAATCTAGTGTCTACCAAAAAGAGAAACAGTAGAGTTGGCCAAATAAAGGTTCTTCTGAATCTGTAATCCATCACCAACTTGTGTTGCTTCAGACCAACCAAAGATGCTTTCATGCCATTCCCTGCGACTGTGGCGGAAAACAAGGTCTCTGCAAGACTTCACCCTGTACAAAGCTGCCCTGATAAAATATAACTCCTCCCTCCGTGCTGCCAAACAAACTTATTTTGTCACTCTCATTAACACACTCTCATCCAGACCTCGTCAACTCTTTTCTACCTTCAAGTCTCTACTATGTCCTCCACCACCACCACCCACTAACTCACTCACTGCCATTCATTTCAAAAACAAAATAGATGCTATTCGAGATCAGATCGCCAATGTCCAATCAACTGCCCCTTTTATTATAGTACCTGATCCTCCATCATACTTGTTACTTTCCTCTTTTGACCCTGTCACCACAGGAGGTTACTAAGCTTCTCTCTGACACCCACCTCACCACTTGCCCCCTAGACCCTGTTCCCCCAAAACTACTTCGGTCACCCTCTTTCTCTATCCTAGACCCACATTTTCAATCTTTCCCTCTCTACTGGAATCTTTCCTACCCCACTCAAACATGCACTAGTCACCCCAATACCCAAAAAACCTTCACTGGACCCTACCAACCTCAATAATTTCAGACCTATCTCCTTACTCCCATTCACCTCTAAACTCCTAGAACGCCTTATCTACAACCGCCTGAGTTGCCACCTCGCTAATAACAACCTTTTGGACCCCTTTCAGTCCGGCTTTCGCCCCAAACACTCCACTGAAACCGCCCTCCTAAAACTCACCAATGACCTAATAACCGCTAAAAACAACGGCCACTATTCCTTACTCTTGCTATTAGACCTCTCTGCTGCTTTTGACACTGTTGACCACCCGCTGCTCCTCAAAAAACTCCACTCGCTTGGCCTACAAGACTCTGCTCTCTCATGGTTCTCATCCTACTTATCTATGCGCTCCTTCAGTGTCACCTACAATTCTAACTCCTCCCCTCCTCTTCCTCTTTCTGTAGGGGTCCCCCAAGGCTCTGTCCTTGGACCCCTCCTCTTCTCCATCTACACCTCCTCCCTTGGTCAACTAATAACCTCACATGGCTTCCAATACCATCTCTATGCCGATGACACTCAAATTTATCTTTCCACTCCACAACTCTCCCCCTCAGTGTCCTTGCGTGTCATTAATCTACTAAATGACATATCAGTCTGGATGTCACAACATTTCTTAAAACTCAATCTTTCAAAAACTGAGCTCATGATATTTCCTCCTGCCCATGCACCTTCCCCCAACATTTCAGTTGAGATTGATAACACAACTATCCAAACCTCCCCTCTTGCCAAGGTCCTAGGTGTCATTCTTTCTTCCCCACATCCAATCGCTATCCAAATCCTGCCGCCTTCACCTTCGTAACATCTCAAAAATACGCCCCTTCCTCACCAAAGAAACCGCAAAAATACTTATCCACTCACTTGTAATATCTCGTCTTGACTATTGTAACTCCCTCCTCATTGGCCTTCCACTACACAGGCTATCCCCCCTTCAGTCTATCATGAATGCAGCTGCCAGACTCATTCACCTTACCAACCGCTCAGTGTCTGCATCCCCCCTCTGCCATTCCCTGCACTGGCTTCCACTCTCCCAGAGGATAAAATTCATAATATTAACAGTCACCTATAAAGCCATCCACAACTCTGCCCCCGGATATATCTCAGACCTTGTCTCAAAGTATTACCCTAACCCCTCCGCTCATCCATTGACCTCCTGCTTTCCACCTCCCTTGTCCACTCCTCCCATACTC